CTAATTAACCCTTTGACATGCGGTGGTCGTGCCCTGAAACCACCAATTTTTGAATTTTTTTCTCGTCTTCTTTCCGAAATTTTTGAGTGAAAATCAATTGATTACTGATCTTTTACCTCTGAATAACACAAAATGACTGTAGAATCATACATGGTTTAGGTCATAGTACTTCAAATCGGATGCCTTTTAAACTTCGTTTTCAATGAGACAAAAAAAAACTTCCTTTTATTAATATAAAAAACTTTAAATTTCAAAAGTTATTCATCACACATCATGATTTCTATCATAAACAATAAAAAATAGCAATAATTAAACTGCATATATAAAAAATATATGAAATTTGCTTTGTGGTTTCAGGGCATGACCACTGTGCCACTAGAGCTGGTCGCGCCTTGAAACCACTGCTCTTCACAATGGCATTTGCTTACTACTCAAATAGGAATGTTTATTTTTAACCGGATATAGATAAGGGTTTTTGAAACCACAGAGTTATTTTATTACTAAACAATACATGCACTTGCCCAGTAAAAAGGTCTTTCTTTTCCAGAGACTTTTCTCTGACCTCAACACACTTACTCCCCAAGCTAGTATTGTGATTTTATACATTATTTCCTGTGGTTTAAATTTAATGTAAATATACTGCTATAATTAAAAATAAAGTCACATAAGCTTTGTTTAAATTAAAAATATTTTATGAGTATTTTGGGACGAAATACAAATAAGTATGAATGGGAAAGGAATGATCCGTACCAAAGCCAAAAAGACCCCCCCCCTTTAACATACAAAGTTACAAATTTCATGTGCCAGATGAAAAGAAACTAAATAATGCTGGACATATACCAGTGAAATTTAGATCCAAGCAGTGTACATTTTGTAGCACAAGAAAGAAACTTCATAGAAGATACATGTGCGAAATGCGCAATGCGAGTCTATGCATGTACCAAAAAGACAAAACATGCTTTGAACAATGTCACAAAAAAAAATTTTTTTTTTCAAATTCAAAAAACAAAAAAACACTGAGTCTTTTTTTATCCTTATTTTACTGAATTTTTTAATTCATTTAGCTAAATGTCCTTATTATGTAGGTACTTATATTTTCACTGCTAAAGAAAAATTACATAAATGTTTATTTTTTAATTTTTTTCGGACAATTTACTTTGTAAAATAATGTAAAAAAATTGTATAATGCAATTCTTACATACATTTTTTTTAAAATTCGTAAATTTCATCATTTATTGGAAATGCGCCCGGAGAAAGTTTTTCCCCTACTACCTCAGTAAGTTTCAAAGTCCTAGACGAGTGGTGGATTCACAGTGTGACCACCACCCACAGAACAATGGGCAAGAGTAGATGTTTTTGTAATTTTTACGAAAATGCGTTTGTCTTTATGATTTTATGATTGTAATCCATTTTTTACAATTTTTTTCCTTTTTTAAGTGTTTTTAGTGATTTTTGTCAAAATTTTAGAATTTTTCGCCAATTCAGCGATTTTCGCCAATTGCATCGTGTTTTACCGCCAACTACCAACTACTTCAAATCCAGTAACCTGCGGTTTCTCCCAACTCACCACTTAACCAGCCAATCCAATGCGCTGAACTTGTTTCTCCCACTCTTTTCTTTGTGGGCGGCAGATTATTTTTTTCGCGTTCGCTTCAGCAGCAAGGCAAATTACTCAGCTCGGACTCAGTGATTGCATGGATTCTGTCGCATTTATTTATTTATTTTTTGTGTTTTGTTGTTTGTTTGTTTGTTTGCACGTGCTACGAATTTTCTTTAATACGTCGTTGTTATGAAAATGTGTTCAAAAAAACCGTATTCTCAATATTTTCGGCCTGCCTACAAAGCCAAATTTCCAACAATTAAAGAATCCTTCAAAGGAAATAACTATGCATTTTGCAACATGTGCGTGTGTGACTTCATAATAAGTCACGGTGGAAGAAGCGACATTGTGAAGCATGTTAAGTCTAAAAAGCATGAACTTAATGCTTCGGCTTCGACAATGTCAAAGAAAGTAGATGATTTTTTCTCTGAAATTCTGAAACATGTATGCACGAGATGGTTATCCTTAGGCAGAGCACTATGAAGGTTTATTGAACAGTGGGATGCACTGCTAAAATATTTCCACGAAGAGACCAAAACGAAACCACAGATCCCATCAAATTTGTCGGCATATAAGATTTCGAAAACCAACTTTGCTTCTACTCAAAATGCTTTAAAAGGGAAAAGCCAACACACAGAATCAAACCCTTTAAAAAGAAAATGCTTAGAAGACTCCTCAAAGGTCAACTTTGTTAAAGAAGTTGAAGGGAAGAAGAAACAGTCTTCTATTAGCCGAGAGGAAAGGATTTTCTATCTTCTTTCTTTGGATTTGAACAAAGCATATTGTAGTTTTGTGTTAAGTACCATTAAGATTTTTGAAAGTGTTAAATACCCTTCTACAATCAGCTTCGCCAAAATCTCCTCTGTGTATCCAAATTCTTAATGATCTTTTGAAAGAACTTTATACTAAGTTTGTAAAACCGTCCGTCATTGTGAAAAACAGTGTGTTGATTCGTGTTGCCTATAATAGTTTGGCAAATCAAACGGATGGCAATGATCTTATAATTGGAAATCAAACCAGGGAGCTTGTAAATTCTTTGAAAGATCATGGGAAAAAGAATTTTTTCATTGTGTGTAGAAAGTACTTTTCCTCAGTCTGTGATTACATTGTAAGGAAGTTTCCTTTGCAAAATGAAGTTCTTTTAAATGCTGAAGTGGCAAATTTGAAACAAATTGAAAATTCATCTTTTGAAAAGATTCATTTTTTTATTGATAAAATTTCCATTTTTGTTAACAATTAAAGAAAAATGAATGCCATAATGATGCTTTAGATGAAACTACAGAACCAATTTTCTGCTGCACAGTTTTGAAGACTTTGCCAGTTCTGGAGAAGATAGACTTGATGTCCTCATTGGTACCTTAAAAAAAGAATAAAAAGAGCTGATGGAACACCAAAATATGATAGACTAGCAAGAGTTTTATGTGCTATTCTCGTAATTCCACACAGTAATGAGTGGCGAGAGTCTTCAGTGTTGTGAAGAAAAACAAAACTATGTTTCGTTCTTCAATTTCACCAAAAACTCTAGAAAACATTTTAATTGCTAAATGTTATGACAGAAAATTTTCGAAAGAATTTTTGGCTAAAGCCAAAAAATGCACTCTAAATTCATTGCAATAATTATTTTTGTGTAACATTAAGTTCTTGTTTTATGTTTCCTAATAAATTTTTTAGTTACTACTTAATTGAGATTTACTAATGTAAGTACAATTTTCTTTTTTCTATTTGTATAAATTGTTATTTTTTTAATATCAAAGCATGATATTAATTCTTTGTGTTCTTCTGAATTTTGGAGAAATCTTCTGAATTTTTATCTTTAGAGGTTGGCAGGTATGATATATTATTTCTCTCTAGGATCATAATATTAAATTTCTAAAGCTTAGTTATAAAAATAATATCGCGCGCATCAAAGGGTTAAGAGGTGGTATATTCATGAGTCGCATGCTTCAGCAGCTGTATGCAGCTAGTTTGAGATCTCTGCATTATCATAAACTTTGAAAAAAGCCATGGAATTACAAAAAGCCAACTTTAAAAATGCACAGTACAATGTAAAATTTCAAAGAAGAATACTCACCTTTATGTGATAATAAAGCCTAAACCATAATAATTGCATCAAATTCAGTATTAAATAACGAAGACTCATTTCCTCCATTTGAATGCCATTATAAGTATTGTGTGCATTTAGGGAAAATTCAGTTATGCTTTCGTGTTGTGAAAAGAAAAAAGGGAAAGTCCTTGTAAAATGCACTACTTTGGTTAATGATGCTGGTATTCAAGCAGTATGCAGGTGCAAAATTAGAGCAGCTATGACAGTGTGCTGCTCATTTTATTTTAAATTTCTGAGTCTAAACAAAATCGGTAAGTAATTCATATTTTATTATTCCATTGAGTTAAAAAATAATAATTCTTTTTTTGTCATTTCAAATGTATAGGTATGCACTGCGTGCATTGATTGCCCTAAGCTGATGCCCCTGATAAAAACCAATAAAGTATATCTGCTGATATATGTATGTAAAATATCAGTTTAATATATATTTGATTTTAAGCCCATGGGAACGAGACCTCGGAGTAGAACCCAGTGAGATGGATCGATTGTGTCGAAAATGACCTAAACATTCTCCAGGTCAAAAACTGCGAAACAGTTGCCAGAAGCAGAGATGCCTGGAGAAGGGCAAATCCCACTCTGGGCTGTTGAGGCAGTGAAGAAGATACAGTTGATTTCACCACATCGATAATCTGCTGTTTTGATGATTTGGTGTTTTTTGTCGTTCTGTATGTAATCCATAAAAATGTGTTGAATTAAGGAAAGATTTATTATGTATTAAGTATGATTAAGTATGTGTCTCCTTTTTTTTTCTTTTAAATATTTAAGTTGCTGTCAAGTATTGTGAGAGGGTCTTTCTTTTTAAATGCATATTATTTTTTATGGTGTGAAAATATATTTTAACCTTTGGCAGATGAGAAAGAAAGTATTTATGTAAGTGGACAAACCATCGAGTACATGTGATGGCTGTTCAGAATGACAAACAAAGTATGAGTGATATCTGAATCATAAATTTGGGGCTCGTGTATTGAAAGTTCTGTACCAGTTATACCTAAAACTGGTTTTCAAAAGTTATTGAAATTAATGTACTGTAATTTAACCATGGGTCCAAGGTTTGTTTAGCGAAGAGTATAAGGGGGAAATAAAAAAAAAGTAAATACATAAGCTTAATTAACAGATGAAGGCACAAAGTGAGGGCCTATTTTCTTGAATACATGGGAAGACAACATTTAATTTCCTAAAGGGTACTTCTTTAGCTATTTATTTAATGTAAAAAAGTAAAGGTTGAATTTAATATATGTAACAAGTTATAGTGTTTTAATCCCTTTTTTTTTTTTTTTCTTTTTCTTCTTCTTCTAGGAAACAGTAAGGAAATACTGTCTATTGAAGAAAGTTTGGAAGAAACTACATTGAACTGTGATTTAAGGCTAATATCTAATGCCAGTTTAACTGTAGTTCTAGGTAGTGCAAGTGATAATACTTTATACAGAATTCATTATATCATGTCAGATGTCCTTCTATCAGTGATAGACTCCGATATTTACTATGGAATTGGAAATAGTGTTATGTGGAAAACTTTAACTAGAGATTTATTGATTGATTTAAGTAAAGGATTACCTTCTATGCAAAACAGACGTAAAATATCAAAATCCAGAAATGTGCAAGTCCGTTCCATTATTCTGAGTGGTTTTGGAAGAGTTGATAATATCAGTTTGAGTTCCACATCACATATGGCCCACTTTTTTGCAGCAGCTAACTGGTTAGTGAATCGTCAAGATGAAAATGGTGGTTGGCCTAATATGGTGACTCGGAAACTCTCAAATGGTATGTTAGAATTAGCTCCAGGATGGTACTCAGCCATGGCCCAAGGACAAGCTATGTCTGTATTGACTCGTGCATTCAGAGTTACCGGTGATCTCCATTATTTGGAGGCAGCTTTACGTGCTATCAAACTATTTAACATTCGCTCTGAACAGAAAGGAATATTAACTACTTTTTTAGGGAAATATGTGTGGTATGAAGAATATCCCACTATTCCAAGTTCATATGTGCTCAATGGCTTCATTTATTCTCTGTTTGGATTATATGATGTGCAGCAAAGTGGTTCTCACAAGCTTTGTAGAGAAGCAGGAAAGTTGTTCGACAATGGTTTAATATCACTAAAACAGATGTTGCCTCTTTTTGATACAGGTTCTGGATCAGTTTATGATCTGCGTCATTTTTCTCTTGGAGTAGCACCTAACTTAGCTCGTTGGGATTACCACAGTACTCATATTAATCAACTTTTGTTCCTTAGCACTATTCATGATGATCCAATATTAAAATCTGTGTCTGAAAGGTGGACAGGTTATATGAAAGGGAAGAAATCACCACATAACTGAACTGTAAATTTCTTTAAACTCTTTTTCTATGAATATAATATAGATGTTGTTGGGTTAGTAAAAATTTTAAAGATTATTCATATTGCACAGTTCTGTAAGTATATTCTGTACTGAAAGAACTTAGAGTTTTGTTCATATTGTCATATTCGATTTAGTGTTTCACAGAGGAAAACGTATGCTTGGACCTAAGAGGTTATAGAGTAAAGTAGAAGGTAGTTATTTTTACAATATGTTAATTCGAAGTTATTGTTTGAAATTATTCCAAAGTTATTAATTCAGCTTAGTTTGTACTTTAAATGCTCCATATCAGTTTAAAAATATTCCCTTATGAAATTCTTGTTGGTGCATTTGAAAAATATCTAGAACATGTTGGTGAATATTTCCATGAAATTACTTTTAGAGCTGGTTTATATCTAGTATTGAAAACCAAACTAGATCCGTCCGTGACAAAGTTTACTAGTAATGTCACTTGTTTAACAGATGTATTTTCACCGATTTTTAATTTATATGTTTATGTTTATATTGGTGAAACTGATAGACAAATTGAAGGGTTTTTTTTTTTTTTAATTAAATCTTACTTTTTATGTAACAGTAACTGTAAAGAAAGTAGAAAAATAATAATATTTCTTTTTGGGGCATAAAGTTTTAGGACTTGTGAAACTTGTGTAAGTAGGGCATTTTAATAGTGTGTATTCCAGACTGAACTTAACTGACATTTGAAATCAAATTATTTGAAATACTTATTTGATAATGTAACAAATGAAGTGCTAAAAGAGATCTATGATACTGTATTATTAGCTATGGCATAATCATTCAGTATACAAATATGAACCCAAAGTTTTGTTTTATCTCTGACTATTTGAGATTTTTTTGGGGGGGGAAGGGAGAGGGATAAAATGTTTAATGTTGTTTTTTAAAGAGGTAAATACTGAATGTTATATTCCGTGCATCTTCTGTGCTATTTTTGAATTTGGGTTTTTAAGCAAAACACCGCCAGAAAAATTAAATACGGATAACATTTGGGTTATAATCACAAAAAAGCATGTAAAACATTTCCTAAATATGTAAAATGCCTTATTTGCATTGGTAAAATTTCAAGTTCATAGCTTTCCAATCAGCTGAAAATATGTATATTCGACTTATTTAGTGCCATTCAGTGCTATACTAACATACATTAAAGGCATTAAAAAAAAAAAGCAGTGTTACAATCAGTCAGCCAGTTGAGATGAAGTAAATTAAAGAAATCAGATAGTAAGGGAAAAAACAGGAAAGGAAGAGAATGAAAAGAACAGGACAGGAACATTCCCTTAATCATTACATTCTTAAGAGGTAAAGAAGTAAGTCGTGCTTGAAAGAGGTAAATGAGCATGACTTTGTAAATCTGCAGGAAGGGAAAATGATCAGCAAACTGTCTTTCTGTAATGTCCCAAAAAGTGCTTAATCGCATTAAGGTTTGATTGTTATTCTAATCACTGTGTGTATGCAGTTTGTCTGTACATTTCAAGTGCATAGTATCTAACTCAAGCATATGAATTTTGCATTTTTTCATACATTAACTACAGACCTTGATATTTCTGGAAATGTGAGCATGAAGATCCAATGTTTTATTTTTATATTTGCACCTATTAGAGCACATTCTTATTATTTGTTAATTCAATAAGGCATAAAATTTTATTTTTCTACTTGAGAGATGTATCTGTTTATAAGATACCCATAGTACTGGGGAAATTATAATAGAACTTCAAAACAGAAGCTTTATTCATTTAATTAAAATGTAAAAAATAATGCCTTTTATCCACATAGTGAAAATTTGACATTCTATATTTATCCTGAGTAGATTTAAAGTAAACCTTCTGTACAGATTGTCTATTATGGTAAATGTTACTTCAGGAAACAGTTGTTGATTTTCTTTGAATGTAAAGTAGCTAATTATTTTAAACATTTTGTTCAAGTACATTCTTTACTAAATGGTACTTTAAATACTTGATTAGATTTCAGATATTTAGGCCAATATCTGTTTTATGTAGTGTTTTTTCTTTGAGGGAGGGACTTCTGAAGTTCTTATTAGCTATTAGTCATAATTTGGGATCGTTTTCATTGGTAAGTTAGCCATAATTCGTCTTACTTCCATTTTTCTCTACTTCACTGCTAACAATGTACTTGTTCTTTGCATAGGGAGAAATAAATTTGTTTTCTGAAGTAACAGTAAATATTGGTAAAGTTGATAGAAGTAAGCTACCAAAAGAAGTCATTAATAAAAAAGAAACCCACTCAAAAAAGGAGTGAAGTGATCACAAAGTCATGTGAAGAAAATTTCTTCAGTGCTCTATGAAATCATATGATGAATTGAAAATTTCTAGAAAATCATCTAATTATTATTTCTTATCATTCTTGACTGAATTGAGGACAAAAATTGATTTTATCATCTGAGAAAAATTTCAAGATGTCCTGAGTTATAACTTTTCCAATGCTGAACTATAAAAATATAGACATATCTTGAAAAATCTCATAAATTAAAAATAGTGTTTTAGAATTTCATTATGTATTCATTGGAAAAAGATTCAGATTGTGTTTGAAAAAATAACTTTGAAGTACCATGATTACCAAGAAAATCTTTATGCTAAATTTCATAAATCTAGGCCTTTTTTGAGTCTTTTCAGTATGCAACAGACACACTTAAATAAACTTTCTTTTTATTATTCTAAGTGTAATTTTAATTTTCAGCTAATTCATGTCAGAATTCAGCTGCTGCTTTCTGATTTTGCATCAATAGTCACATATGCTAATCAGATTCATTAAGTAGTAAAATACTCCATCGATAAGTTCCCACTAAGCTATGTAGTAGTCTTATCTCTGCCTGCTAATTGTAACTGGATATTATTTTTGCTTTTCATTATTGCCTTGGAAAATCCATTCGTGGAAGTCAACAGCCTTTATACTATTTGTATAATGTTTACTGTAAAATTATTTTTACATTTTACTTTCTTTTATCATTTTATGAGTTTTCTAACTGCAAGTATTAATATCATCAAAAGCAAACCAACGATATGGAATCACTTTAGGAGAAGAATAATGTTGTGCAACAAAGAAGTTTAAAAGTGAATGTAAGTATGTATAAAGTGAGAGAAAACTACAACATTATTTAATTACAACAGACAGTATGTTTTACCCTTTAAAATCATTTGGAATGTTTAATGTAAAATTTTAATTTATATTCCAGTAATATAAATATGCAGTGAATAGCAATTATGATATTTTCTGAAATTTTGAATTTTAACCAAATGTCAGACTTTGGTTAACATCTGTTGGCTATTATGTGAGCGGTTTCAATCAACAAAACATGTGATACTCTCTTTTGATAATTAACTACTGCTAATTCATTACACAATATGCTGAAGGATTAAAGTATGTGAAGATCTGTATCACTGTTAATCCTCATTCCTTTCAGAATTTTTATATTTGAACTACAATATAAATAGTTGGCTTTCTGAACATTCTTCTGATTATAATCTGATTTTCATATTTAACTTTTAATAACTTTGGTCCACCAGATTTAGCTGAAATTACATGTGTATGGTATGATAAAAGTTTGAAGTTTGGTGAATATGTTCATAAACAAGAGATTCTTACCTAAATAAAAAAGAAAGTTGATATTCCTTCAAAGTAATGTCTGTCATTTGCAGCATACTTTTGAAAACAATTGTGCAGTTCCTGAAAAGTGCAAGTGAAGTCTTCTTTGTATGTTGTATAGAGAATTCTTGTCATGCATCCTGGAATGTCCAACAATTGTTTTCCTATTTAGGTCTTGTTTCAAGTGCAGGAATAGAAAAAAAGTGTACTTGAGAAAGATCAGGTAAGTATGGTGGATGATTAAGGGCTATACTCCTATACAGGTCATAAATTGTTTCACTGCAATAAATTTGCTAGAACATCTTCGTATGTGTTTGCATTCATTTTTTCTCTTGCTGGATAACATAATCTTTATCACTATAAGAAGTCATAGGGCTACCACTTCAAGCAGCATCTTCAATGGAATCCCGTCCATACCAAAAGCATTTAAGCCATTCATAAACACGTTTTAAAGATATAGCTTCATATCCATAAACTTGTTTCAGTGTGTCATGTATTTCTTTTATAGATTTACCAAACTTGAAGAGTTCATTTGCTACTTACTCTATTTTACAGCAACTGCTACACTTTTGCACACTGTAGTGTTATTGACAGAAATCCTACACCATGCTCAGGCATGTTCAAACATGTTATGGCATATCTTTTCCATACTTCATCATTCGTCCACTGCTGTGTACGCATCTTGTATGACATTCACTGAACTTTATTGTCATAGCTTATATGCAAAATCTGCTCATGTCATCTTATGCAAATGCAAATTTTTTGCTCTGCTTCTATATCCTTTTTCAATTATTCTTAGCTTTTTTTTTTTTTTTCCCTACTGTACTTGAGATCTTTTGTTAACACAAAATTGATTGTAGTTAATTATTGGAGAACTTTTTATAATTGTTGTTCTAATCTTATGTACCAGTATAAATGACTTCAATGTTTGTTATGGAAGCACTAGTTCCCAAGTGGTTTAGGTCCATTTTTCAGTGGTGGTTGAACATTGTCACTTCTAATAATTTGTTTTCAAAACTGACATGCAAGACCTTTCTGTCAATTAATTCTATATTATTGATTTCTGCTGTCAATCAATTCTATATTATTGATTTCTGCTGTCAATCTGGAATCTCAGAAGTTTGGCCTTGAACTACTTGGGAAACAAGGGCTCGATCGTTACCACATTTCTCTGACAAAAACCATTCTTCTTCAGCCATTTTGTTTAGTTAGCTGTATTGTAGTTGTCAGTTATGCAGTAGTGCTTCACATCCCATATTTTTTTTTTTTTTTTAATAATTCGAAAATTTCTGTTTCAGAACTTTTTTAAAATGTAGAATTGGTGACTAAAGGTACGTTATGTATTGTTTCAAAATATAATGTTGAATTTTTAATTATGAAATTATAAATTCATTTATAGAATATCTGAACTTTTTTGCATTGTTTTCTTATTTAGATATAAATAATCATATGACTTAAAATGAACATCGGAAATTATAGATCTATTATAGATCTTCACAGTATCGGAAAACTATCCACTGTTACCCGCGTTTTGCATTTGGGCTTTGTTGCTTTTATATCAAATATACAAATTTTAAATGGCCATCAAATAGTAGTCATCAAATCATGAATCTTCGTACATTTATACCAAAAATACAGGCATAAACAAGAACCTGCTTGAAATTTTTATAAAATTATTTCAAATAGAGAATCTTGCAGAGGGATTCTAGTAGTGTCAGCTTCCGTAGTTGGCGTATTTTCAAGCTGAAATTTCTTTGTGTTTATTTAGCAGCTGATTAGTTTCTCAGCATATATTTCACGAGCCTTGAGTTCATTATTATATTCAGCTTATAAAACACTGCCTATGTGCATAAAGTTTAATATCTTAACTATTAAGATTTGCTTTACTGTCCGAGCGATCCTTCTGTAACTGCAAAGTGTTCAAATCAGGTTGAGGATTTTCCAGCAATGAGATGAAGGCCCTGGTAGACTCGTTAAGGGAATTCATATAACTCTTAGCTGTACTGTGTTTGAAAAATTTCGCTTTATCATAGGATATATATGTTCAGGTTTCTGTTGTCAGCTTATGAGGGATTGGTACTCAAAGTATACATCACTTACTTTCAAATAGCAAAGGCAAAAATTAAAATGAAAAACCACGACTAAAACATTAACAGTTTAATATTTGGTATAAATGTTCTTGAACGTAAATCCGCTAGCAAAATAAACAACTTATGACTGAGCACACTGACAAAAAAAAGTAAGAACGTGACATCCTATAATTATGTAATCTTTCTATCTGGGGCTGCTGTTTGTAATTAAAAGTGAGGGGGGGGGTCGTATAGAATAGAATTTTTTTATTGCTTATAAAATTCATTTTTATTCGAGGGAATGTATTTTTAATGTTGTAAACCCAAACTAGAGCTCTAAAAGTTCCCCCAGAGTCATCAAAAAACCACGCGCCTAGCGATAGCTCGGAAGCGGGTATTTATGCTTCAAATGGACGATATCTCAAAGCAGGAAGGCATCTTATATGCAAAGCCGTTCCTAGACCATTAGCTGCCCGTGTGCTTTCGTAAAATTGGCGCCCCCAAATAAAATTTAAAAAAAAAAAAAGCTCAATGATTAATGAAATTTTTATTTCATACTCACTAAGTTCTTACAATGACTTTAAAGTATTTAGCCATGGTATCGCAAGAGTCCGGCCGCCCGCCCGCGTACTTTTACGCATTCCACCCCCCGCTAGGAACGGTCCTGATTATATGGCCTTGACGGTGTAGATTAAGCTTATACGAGGGTATTAACACGTTTACTTAAACGTTTACTGCCTTGAGCATAACTGGTGGGTCGCAAAAGTTTTTCATTCTGTGCCGCGAACATCACACTCGGGTCACGGGCAGGGCTTAATTTCTAAAATTAGAAGTGCCGGAGCCCTATGGAGACTGTGAGGAAGGACATAAATAAATACAGTAACTAAAAATTAAAATAATAAATTTAAATTAATATTAATTAAGTAAGTAAACAAACAAATTTAATTAAATAATAAATTTACATTTTAAAAATGTAAAGAGAAATTTAATAAATTATTAAATTAATTTTAAATAGTTAAACAGAAAAAAAAGTACCGGACCTTGTCTTGTCTGGGGCATTGGCAGTATTCATAATTCCAATTTGATGCTAAGAAGCATCTCAGCCGATCTCCGTCTAAGCCCCGATTATACGTATAATGTTCTATTTCAAAGGATGACAGGTACCACACATTTTTTGCAGCACACTAAGTAAAAAAAGATAAAACGATTGAAGCTCCACAAAGAAGAATAGTGAGATTTCTAGAAATACTATGAGGATATGGAAAGAAATTTAACAGAAAAGTGTATAAGGTATTTCTCCCGTCTTAGCATGCCTTCGTGGTGTAGTGGGCAGCACATTCGACGCGAATTCGAGAGGTTTGTGATTCGAGTCCCGACGAGGGCATTGCTCATTTTTCATCTCTCTTGCTTCGAAATAACCTAATGTCTCTACAGTGGTGCCCGAACTAAAAGGTGGTGACTGATGATTCTTCACCGCCAGGGTTTGGCAATCGGGTCCCCTAAAACCCCAGTCGCCCTTTAAAAGGAGGAGCATATAAGGTATTTCTCCCGCCTTCTTAGCATGCCTTCGTGGTGTAGTGGTCAGCATGTTCGACGCGAATTCGAGAGGTTCGTGACTCGAGTACCGGCGAGAGCATTGCTCATTTTTCATATCTCTTGCTTCGAAATAACCTAATGTCTTCAAGTATAGTTTTGAAAATGAAGAGAGAAGACTTTAGCACTTTCTAATCGCGATGCCCTGTTGATGTAATTCTAGCCGTCAAACAGAAATTTTCCCTGAATACAAGAGAATAAACATAAGACTTCTCTGTACAAGCGGCAGCAGTGGTCCGCCCGTTTGGTTACATCATTCAATATGTCTGCAGGAGCTTTGCAGTAGGAAGCCACTAGCGACTGGGTATCTCTTTTAGTTCTTTGAAAAAAAAAACGAATACAAATTTACCCGCTCTTATAAATTCATTGCATATCCTGGAGAATAAGCCTTTGACATATGATTGAGGGCTTTTCTTTCCTTAAAAGTCTCAACCTCTGTGCAAGGCTTGAGTGCGAGGGAAAGCCAGGCCTGCATTCAGAAGTTAGAATTGATTTTTAAGACATATTTACTATTAAAACAAAATTTGTGTGTTAAAATTGTGGTTAACTTGCAGGAAAGAAGTGCCGGAGCCCTTTTTATATAGGGCTCCGATGTGCTCTAGCTGAAATTATAATTTATCTTGAAAACTGAGAAATACCGGAGCGGAGCTCCGGCCCAATTTAAGCTCTATCTTTTCACTTAATGTGAAATAAAAGTCTTGGGCAATTCGGAAATGACTTTATATTTGTATGTACCATTCTGGGATAAATGTTCTTCAAAAATATTCAAACATGGACATTTTGCATCATTTTTTGCTCTTGCAAACGTTTGAAGTGGGCAATAACTTTACATTTTTACGCTAAAAAGGTTTGTTTTTATTGAAAGAAATTGTAAGATTTTAATTCTTTCTCCAGAATTATTTGTATTTTTTTATATCTCTAATTATTGACAACTAATAAAGCCTCTACAACTAATTAAAATTTGTCTTTTTAAGTTTGGCATCTCGGTGATTACTTAACTTCTTATAAGGGCAAGTGAACGTGTTAATCATTATTTGAATAGTACTAGTTTTTCGTGTTGAAAACTGTAAACGCGTTTTTTTGCTAGACACATTTTTTTCGCACGCTGTGCAACCTAGCTCAAAAATGAATGGACCCATGATTTGACTTCAAATTTCACACAGATAATATTTTTGGTGATATCCTGAATCTAAAATACCGTTATAAAATTAATAAGTATTGTTTATAAGACATAGGTTTAAAAAAATAAATCATTTTTTCCTTGAATTTAGATTTAAGGTCCACAATGTCATATATTAACAAAAAATTTTAGGGTTTTTTTTTTTTTTTTTTTTTTTTTTTTTTTTTTTTTTTTTTGAGATAATTAAAGCGATATGTAGCTACCGATCTGCACCGCGGGAAAAAAAACAAAAAACTTATGGTACTTATTGTCAATATTGCGATGTTCCTTACCAAAATTTATTAACGTTTTTTAGAAATAAATTCGTAAAAAAAAAGTCTATTTACACGATCATTTCGTCTTGATGATATAAATGAAAATATATAAATTATGTATTCAAATGGGGCGATTAGTAGTTGTATATTTCGTTTACGATACGTGCTTAATACCGAAACTGTCTTCCCTAATGCTTTTAGAATTTT